CTGCAGTAGTGGGGAGAGCCTTGTGGCAGGCAGCCCCACCAGCAGCTCCTGGAATGGTCCAGGTGGGAAGTGACGAGGGGCTGCACCAGGGTGGGGGCAGTGTCAGAGGAGAAAAGGGGGCATATCTGAGAGAGATTAAGAAGATAAAATTGAGAGAACTTGACACAAATTGTATATGGGGGTGAAAGAGAGTGAGGAGTCAATGATAACACCTAGATTGCGAGCCTAGGTGACTGGGTGACAGTAATAGGGAAGTTTGGAAGTTTGCTGGGAGTCACAGTGAGAGATAAAATGCTGGGTCTGGAGTGACAAAGACCTGAGTGCAAATCTTGCCTCATACACTTACTAGCTGTGTGAACTCAGGCAAGTAACTTAACCACTCTCTGTCTCAGTTTCCTCAGTTGTAAAAATGGGGATGATAATAGTATCTACATCCCAGTATTATCAGGGCAGCTAGGTGGCTCAGTGGATAGCGTGCCAGGCCCTGGTGTCAGGCGGACCTGAGTTCAAATCCAGCCTCAGACATTTACTAGCTGGGTGACCCTGGGCAAGTCACTTCACCCTGTTTGCCTCAGTTTCCTCATCTACAAAATGAGCTGGAGAAAGAAATCACAAACCACTCCATTATCTCTGCCAAGAAAACCCCAAATGGGGTCCCAAAGAGTTGGACACCACTGAAACAACTCAATAGCAACAATGCAGCTTTATCATAATGATCAAATGAGCTAATAATTTGTAAAGCACTTAATACAGTACTTAGCACATGGTAGAAGCTATATAAATGCTAGTTAGCGCATTATCATTTTTATTCAGAGGGAAAGCTTTGGGGGCGGGGAGGGGGGAAAGATAATGAGTTCAGTTTGGGGAATGCTGAGTTTCAGAAAACACCCAGTTCAGTATGTCCAAAAAGCAGGGGAAGGTATGAGACTGGAGGGCAGGACACTTGCCCAGGGCCACAAGCTAGTATCTGAGGTGGGATAAGTCCAGCCGTGTCCTCTGCCACAGAGCTGCTTTTAGCCAGAGAACAAAGAAAAACAGAACAACTCGGCCCTTTTGTTCCCTTCTCCTCCGTAAGGAGAATGATGTTCAGATTGCAGATAGCAGAACAGACTCAGCTAAGAGGCAATTGAAGTCCAGGCTGGGCGAGGAGATAGTGGAATTGCATTAAATGAGTTTAGGTCACCTGCATTCCAGGCCCCTGAAAGAATCCAGAGGGCTGATTGCTGACCCAACAGTCAGGGAGCTTTGTGGAAGTGGGGCAAAATGAGAAAGGAGACAGCAGAGTGTTGGAGCAATTTTCAAAAAGGTGAACAAAGGAGAGTGTGCAGATTTTCCCAGCAAACTTTACATCAGTCCCCAGAAATGTTCTCCAATGGATGATTAAACAGCTGTTTTGTAGTTATCTTTGCAAAACACAATGGTCATTGGCAGGAGCCAGTCATACCAAGCCAGGTGCATCTGGGGGAGTAAATGAGCAAAGAATCATGGGAGCCTAGATTTAGAGCTAGAAGGCACCTTAAAAGCTGTCAGATCCAAGCCCCTTGTTTAGTGTAGGCCTAGGGAAATGAAAACAAAAAAAGAATCCAAGCCTCTTGTTTTGTATAGGTCTAGGGAGCTGAAGGGCAGCTACATGGCCCAGTGGATAAAGCGCTGGACCTGGAATCAGAAAGACCTGAGTTCAAATCCAGCCTCAGACACTCCTAGCTGTGTGACCCTGGACAAGTCACTTTGCCCTGTTTGCCTCAGTTTCCTCAGCTGTAAAAAAATGGGGGATAATAATAGCACCTTCCTCCAGGGTTGTTGTGAGGATCAAATGAGATAAGCATTGTAAAGCACTTAGCACAGTACCTGGCACATAGTAAGTACTATAAAAATGTTGTTTTTGTTATTGTTGTTGTTGTTATACATAGCATCATAAATCTATGACTGGAAAGGATCTCAGAGACCATCTAGTGATTTTACAGATGAGGAAACTGAGGCCCAGGGAGGGGAGGTGACTTGTTAGGTCTCCTGGCTCAGTATTTCCTTCACCAGAGCACCATTGCCTCTGATTGGACTTTTTCAGTTTGATATTTTTTATCCATGACAGCCTACTGAATGAATGAAAAAGTGAATGAAACATTTATTAAGTACTTACTGTATACCAAACACTATCCTGCACCCTGGAATCCAAATAGGAAGGCAGATCAGTCCCTGTTCCCAAGGATCTCACCTTCTACTTGGGGGAGACAGCATATAGGGGGAGGCTGTAGGTGCTGGTCATCATGTAGATTACTGATCTCTTAGATGACTGACTCAGCCTCCAGAAAAAGCTCAGCAGCCTAGAACACTGTGCTGTATCAAAGAAGTTGAAAATGTACAGGGTTATATGTAAAGTCCTGCCCTTGGGCCCACTGAGTCAAGAGCAGAATTCTTAGCATGTGACTCGAGTGTGACTGGGTCAGGACGCACATCCCTTGGGATTTTCATGACCTCTCAGCTCCGTGTGCCTTAGCAACATGGACAATGGTAAGAAAAGATGAAAATGCAAGCCACGGAATTTTGATTCCTCTTCAAAACCCTGGTATGAAAAATAGATGCTTGATTTTGTTTGGGGTTGGTTGGCATTCGTGGGGGTGGGGATGGGGGGGGGAGAGAACGAGGGCTTATGGAAATTAGAATGGCCAAAATGAGAGGTTGAATCTCTACATTTCAATGTCCCATTACCGAGTATAATCTGCTAGTGATATGTCCCAATTTTCTCTTCTGCCGTGTACTCGGGTACCTAAATTGGATTGTTTCCTTAGTAACAAGAATTATCAGATGATTTATTCCAAGCTGATCTATGGAGACTTGAAGCCAACAAGTATTCACTAAGCATTTCTCATGCCGTCCAGCATGGAGAGAGATACAAAGGAAACTCGCTTTGGTCCCTGACCACAAGAAGTTTATGGTCTAGTTTGGGCAGACGAGACTTACATACATGAAGCAATTAGAAGATGGAACTAGGCAGCCTAATTAGCTCCCAGAACGTGGTGTAGGGATAGCATCCGTCAGGAAAGGGAGAGGGAGACTTGGGGTGAGCCACATTTGTCAAGTAAGAGTTCCTGAAGGGGATGGGGCTCAAGGTGGGCTTTTGAAGGATTGGTGATATCTGGATCGGCTTTTAAACAGTATCTGAATGAGGGAGGATAAAGCAGAATACAACATCAGAAAACATGTGTCTTTGTATGGTAGAGCCATCTGGGGAGACAGGCTACCCTGCCAAGGAAGGATCGCATTATCATGTGCTAAGACTCTGGAAAATGTAAGCAATGCTACTGTTATGTCTTTCTGTTTATATTTCCAGGGTGATCCTGGCCTGCCTGGGTACCCAGGTACTCCTGGCACTCAAGGTGCCCTGGGAGATATTGGTTTGCCTGGTGCTCCAGGGAGCCCTGGGGTAAAAGGACAGCCAGGCTTGCCCGGATGGCCAGGTAACATTTTTCTCTTTTAATTCTAATTTTTGAGCAGCCCAGGTTTCTTCCGTTTCTTCCTCTTTTCCCCTGCCTCTCACTGCTGGCTCTCGGGCAAAGTCAAGAGAAAGAGATAATCTGTTTTATTTGCCTGGTGCTTGGATCCGACCCCCAGATCTGATATCGACTTTGTGTTGGCCATTCCCCTTCCTTTTTTTTTCTGAGCTGCATTTCTTGCAGAATGGAGAAGGGCCCCAGCAGCTCAGCAGGGGAAGATTCTGAGACCTGCGAGACAGTTGGTTTATACCACTTTCCAATTTGGACTGCTAGCTGCAGGCCAATTAAGGAGCCTGACTATTTTCATAGGTGATAATATTCACAGCTGAGCCCTGTCCTGCTTCTGGTTCCCTTGGAAAGTTTGCCACCTGTACATAGGAACCCAATGGGTGGTGATGGCACAATGGCGGCCCGGTTCATTCAGCTAACAAACGGTTGAGTGACTCGGGTAAAAGAACTGAGACTGAGTTATCTTATTATCGGCTCCCTTCATGCTGGCTGTGTTCAGCACTGGCTGCCTCACTCACCCAGTAGTATGGCTGCCTGGACCATCACTGAGGTATTGACTCTGAAACACATTTCTCTGACTTTCCTGGTACTGACAATAAACGAGTCCCTTAACTTTTGAATCTGATTTCGTGGGGAAAGAAGAAAAAAGACTTAGTATGTACCTTTTTTTTTACCCTCTAATCATTTCTCAGTGTATCTCCCTTCACTTTGAACCCTCTGTTGTAACAAAGAAGAGCAGTTAAGCAGAACTCACTGACAGTATAAGGACCATTTGGCTTCTCCACTCCTCTGCCTGTCCATTGAGAGAACAGAAGCATGTTTCATCATCCATTCTCTCAGACTGAGATTTGTTACTGATATATAGACCACCAAAAGGGAGTCTGGCGCAGTAGGTGTCCCAGTGGATGGGTTGCTGGTACTGGGGTCAGGAAGACCTGAGTTCAAATACAGCCTTGGATACTTCCTAGCTGTGTGACCCTGAGCAAGTTGTTTCACCTCTGTCTCAGTTTCCTCATCTATGAAATGGGTATCATAATAGTACCTCCTTCCCACAGTTATTGAGAGGATCAAATGAGATAATATTTGTAAAGTACTTAGCGCAGTGCCTGGCACATAGAAGGTGCTTAATAAATGTTAACTCATTATTATTTCCACTGGTATAATTGGAGTCTCTATGTGTGTTGTCCTCTTGGTTCTACTGAGGCTGCTTACATCAGTTCATGCCAGTCTTCTTATGTTTCTCTGAATTCCTCATATTTGCTATTTTTTTTTGGTTTTGTTTTCTAGACTGAAGCTGTGATTTCATTGGTATGAGGAACTCCCAGTATGGTAATCCCTCTACCAATGTAGCTCAGTTGTTCTGTAACTCTTGGTTTTAGAGAATTGCTGGACACCTAACCTCCCAGGGCCCCAAGCAACTTTCTTGGCATTTCTCACAAAGCAAAAATATCCTTTTACCTTCACAAACTCCAGTTTCCAACTTTTTTCATCTTTTACTAGTGAGTTGTTTCCAACTTTTGGCCACCACAAAAAGTCTGTTCCAAATATTTTGGTATTTAAGGGCCCATCTTACTATGTATGTCCAGTAGTGGGATCACTAGGTCAAAGTTTAGTGACTTTTAGTGACAGTTTAGTGGTTTTTTCCCATAATTCCAAATTGTTTTCCAAAATGGTTGGATCAGTTTACAGCTACACCAACAGTGTATTCACATGCCAGTATTTCCATGACCTCTCCAATGTTGACTATTTCTGCTTTTTTCCACCTTTTACAATTTTATGGGTATGAGTAAAAATTCAGAATTATTTTAACTTGTGTTTACCTTATTACTAGTGATTTGTAGTATTTTTCATATGACTGTCAATAGTTTGCTTTTCTTCTTTTGAAGACTCTTTGCTCATATCCTCTGACCACTATGGTTTTAGAGTGATTGAGTCTTTACAGATATTTATAAGATCAGTTCAATATACTGAGTATCTCGAAAATCTTAGTATAGAAGCTTAATAAACTCAAATAATAAGAACTTTAAACTGCATTAAGACTTTTGGGACATAGTGTGTGTGTGTGTGCGCGCGCGCACATGTGTGTGTGTGTGTGTGCACGCGCGTGTGTATGTGTGTGCGTGCATGTGTATGTGTGTGCACGTGTGTGTGTGTGCATGCACATGTGTGTATGTGTGCGTGCACATGCATGCATGTACAATAAAACCTCTCTCCCTCTCTCCCTCCCTCCCTCCCTCCTTCCCTCCTTCCCTCCCTCCTAAGGCTATTCCTCAAAAGGTAATGGTCAAAGGATATGACCAGCATTTCTCAAAAGAAGAAAAGCAAACTATTAATACCCACATAAAATGCTCCAAACCACTAATAATTAAACACAAATTAAAATAATTTTAAGTTTTCACTTGCACCTAACAAATTAGAAAAAAACAGATCAATGTTGGAGAAGCTGTGGGAAGACAAATATGCATACATACTGTGTATGTACAGATATTAATGAAACCATAAGTCTGGAAATCATATGTCAAGGATATTTGTTCTAGACTTGTGATTTCATTTCTATAGGGAAGTCCTGGTAAGAAAAGTCCCTCAATCAACACAACACTGTTCTGCAGCTTGTAGTGGAGTTGCTTGAGACACTGAGAAGTTAAGTGGCTTGCCCAGGGTAACATAACCAGTATATGTCAGAGATAGGACTTGATCCAGGTTTCCCTGACTCTGAGGACAGTTCTCTATTCCTCTCATATGGGCAAGAAAAGAAACAACAAATGTGAGGAATACATATATGTGCATGTATATTTTTCCATACCTGTTATTTCATTAGATGGTAAACTCTCATTGCACATCATCAACTTATCTGTAACTCAGAGTCTTAAAGTGTTGCCTAAAACTTGGGGAAGTTAACTGACTTGTCCATGATCACACAGTTGTCTTGTAAATTTGTGCCAATTGTCTATGTTGTATGGATAATAGATTTTGATATTATCAGAAATACTTGATGCAAAATTTCCCTCTTCCCCCTTGGGGCAGCTAGGTGGCACTGCAGTGGATAGAGTGCTGGGCCTGGAGTCAGGAAGACTCATCTTCCTAAGTTCAAATCTGGCCTTAGATACTTATTAGCTGTGTGACCCTGGACAAGTCACTTCACTCTGTTGGCCTCAATTTTCTCATGCATAAAATGAGATGGAGAAGGAAATAGCAAACCACTCCAGGATCTTTGCCAAGAAAATTCCCAAAATGGAGTCACAAAGACTCGAACATGACTGAAACGACTGAACAACAAACAGCAACAATTTTTTTTCCTACTTGACAATTTCTCTTTTTATTTTAGCTGCATTGATTTCATTCATGCAAAAGCTTTTATATTTTATGCATTCAAAATTGACTGGTTTATCAATGATCACTTTTATTCCTTGTTTGGTTATGAATTCTCCCCCCATCCGTAATTGTGTAAGATACCTCCTTTCATTCTCTAGTTATATTTTTGGAGGGTAGGGGTGTTGTTTTTGATGATACGGTCTTTTATGTTTATTAGAAATGGTCTGAACCTAATTTCTTCCAATTGCTTTCTAGTTTCCCAAGTAGTCTTTGTCAAACAGGAAATCTTTCCCTGATTAGTTTGTGTCCTTGGATTTATTATACATTGTACTGTTATATTCAGTGGTTTCTGAGTCTCACACATCTAGTCTATTCCACTGATCTACTTTTCTACTTTTAAAGCAGTACTGAATAGCTTTGGTAATTATTCCATTATAATACAATTTGTGATCTGGTAATGCTCAGCCCTCTTTACTTCTGCTTTTTAAAATCATTTCCCTAGAGATTCTAGATTTTTGTTCCTCCAAAGGATTTTGTTATCATTTTGTCTGGTTCTATAAGGTGTCTTCTTGATAGTTTTATACAGTACTAAATCTGTAAATTAATTTAGGTCATACTATCATGTGTACTAAATTGGCACAACCCAGTCACAAACAATGACTATTTCTCCAAATATTTATCTTCCTTTATATCTGTAGAGAGGCAGCACTGTATAATGGATAGAGAACTTTGAAGCTAGAAAGACCTGGGTTCAAGTCTTACCTCTGATATGTACTCTATGACCCTGGGCAAGTCACTTAACCTTTCACTGCTCTAAGGGAATTCTCTAAGACTGTACAACACAGAGAAGGTGCTGACCTGTATCGGTAAAGAGAATTTCCTCATCAGGGAGTTTTCCATACCAGTGAAATCACAGTTCTACTCCTGTCTTATCCTTATATTGATAAAGAATTCTTGGAAAACTGTACTTATACAAGTTATGTGAGTGTCTTGATAGGTTAATTCTTATATATCTTGTGAAATTTGTAATTATTTCAAATGGAATTTTTCTTTCTATTGTTTTCTCTTGGTCTTTGTTAGCACTGTAAAGAAATGCTGATGATTTTTGTGGATTTATTTTGTATGCTACTACTTTACTAAAACTATCAATCTTCTTGTTAGTTCCTTTGCTGATTCTCTAGGGTTTTCTAAGTCAACCATCCTATCTGAAAATAGGGCTATTTTGCCTCTTTTTTGCTGATTTCTATTCCATTAATTTTTCTCATTTTTCTTATGGTTATAGCTAGCATTTCTAGAACTTTGTCAACTAATAGAGAAAGAGGGGACATCCTTGTTTTACACCTGCAAACAATGCTAATTTTTTGGCTTTAGAGATATACTTTTAGTGGTATTAAAGATGTACCATGAGCCATTTTGACAGTACATAAGCCAGAAATACCTTCTAGGGGGCTGACATGCTTGAATACATTAAAGCAGCTAACACTGTCATTTAGAGATTTGGACCACCTGGCCCCTTCTTTCAACACCTCTACCATAAGTCATGGTAGTGGAAAAGCAAGCATTTTGTTTGCCAGATGGGTGGGGATCCTCTGAAAGATGTGACCTTTCTGCTGGTTTTTTGTTGTTCTTCTACCATTGGGCTAGAGAGAAGGAAGCAGAGCAGCAATCTTCTCTAGCACCTTTCCTTTTAACCAAGATGGCCTGACTCCCTTTAGGATGTGCTTGCCACGCACTAGATCCAGTAATAAAGGAGACAATGTACTTTGGAAACACATCTGCTTGAACCTAGCACACTGAAGGCACCCAGTAGGCTGAGTTATTTGTATTGACAGCCTGCCTAGTTTCTAAATCTATTTTTCTAATTCCTGTATTTCAGAGCAAATGGATTCAAGCCTGGTATGCAGCGGTGTTAAGAATTGTTTGCTTTGTTTATGAATGTCACAGTGCTAACAAATGAATTTGTGATCTTAAATCATCCCCCGAACAATTAAAACTATGCCCAATGAGCACCAACACCTTATGTGTATCCTTTCTTTCCTTCATTGTGTTTCTATACCAACTCTGTAAACTTTAATTCTGGATCATAACTCTCAAAGCAATACTGTTTTTCTTCTGCTTTTCAATTCAGGCTCTTTTCCACAGGTACTACAGGCCTTCCTGGACCCAAAGGTCTGGATGGCCCACCTGGTAACCCTGGTATCCCAGGACAGTCTGGTCCTGTAGGTAAGTATGATGTTATGTCATAATTACAGAGATTGAATTTCCCTTTGGGTACGCCCAGTTCCTCCATGGGATATGACTTTTCAAGAGGTAGAGGCAAAGTGACCAGTTACCAAGTTCTTGTTCTAGCTACAGAGTGTACTCTCTCACAAAGCTATTTCAGACTATTACTATTATGGATGATTATCTTTGGAGCACAATTGGCAGCCATTCTGTAGCTGAGTTTCTGAAAGGATGGCCCAGGATTGGCTGTTTGACAGCTGCTAGCAAAGGGTTCTCCCTTTCTTTGGGCCTTAGGGTTCCCCACCTGCAGAATCTGGCTCGAGCAAATCAGTCCCCTTACAGTTTTCCCCCACCTTCCCCTCCCCACACACATATCCCAGAGCCAGCCTCAAAATTAAAGACTCAGGATAGCATTCTCTGATTTGGTCCCTTGATATTTGGGACAATTTTATTTTCAAAGATGATTTTGGGGAGAAATTTTATGTGACTTTGTTACTTTAGGTGATGAGAATCAAAGGTTATATGATAAGAGGGGGGCTGTGGGAAGACAGGGGATTGCTTATTGGAAAGCTTATTGCTTATTTCTTTTGTAACTTATAACATTTGGGTCTTGTTCTATAGGCAGTCAGGGCCATCCTGGTTCCCCAGGATCTCCAGGAGAGAAAGGGAAACCTGGTCAAGATGGGATTCCTGGGCCAGCTGGACAGAAGGGTGAACCAGGTAAGGTATTTTCTCTGTACCAATCTCCTATTCACCTTTATAACTTTTTCCTTGCAAACATACCATATCTTTCCACCTCTTTTTACTCCCTTGCCTCCCTCTGCCTTGCTGAAATCAACCATGCTAAAGTCTCCATGTACCCCCCCCTTTGATGTTATTTCCTTGCTTATTCATCTTCTACTCCATTTATGGAATTATGTCTCACTTTTGTCCATCAAACTATCTTCTTTCCATGATATAAAACTTTCCAGATCTTTTTACCTCAGTCAGGTAGTTCAGAGCGTCAATAGTCACCATGACCAAGCTTTTCTGTCAAAGCTGATTATGTCCAATGTCATATATGTATATATGTAATACTGTGTGTGTGTATATATATATATATATATATATATATATATATATATATATATGTAATACTGGGTACAAGAGGAATGTTTTTGTCAGAGGAGTGCTCCTGTCACTTTAGGATTTAAATAGGGAATTCATTGTGGGTTGAAATGTAAAATAATCTCAAAATCAGTTGTTCTGAGTCGTGTCATTAATCCTTTGGGCTGGGGGTGTGTGTGTTGTTGTGTCATGGCAGGTCAACCAGGATTTGGATTCCCAGGACCTCCAGGAATCCCAGGATTTCCTGGTAAGGTTGAAATTGGAGCAACTGGGAGAAATTCTCTTCTAGATCTGATTCTTGTCAACAGGGAAGAACTGGTTGTTGTAACCTTGGGGCAGGGGACAGTTGGGGGAAAGAAGGTGGACCAACTCCGTGGACCAACATTTTACCACTGAAATTGGGCCAGGAGGGCTGGGAAACTCTCAAGAATTAAATTGCATTGATCAGAATTATTAAGTCTTCCAAAGCTGTTTGTCTTTACAGTGTTGTTGTTCTCTTGGTTCTGCTCACTTCATTCTCTGTCAGTTCTTACCAATCTTTTCAGGCTTCTCTAAAACCATGCCTTTTATAATTTCTTATGGCACAATAGTATTCCATTGCATTCATATGCCATGATTTGTTCAGCCATTCTCAAAATGGTGGGCATTCTCTTAGTTTATAGTTCTTTGAAACAACAGAAAGAGCTGCTAAAATATTTTTATACATAAGGATCCTTTCTTTTTTCTTTGATCTCTGGGATGTAGACTTAGTAGTGGTATTATTGGGCCAAAGGGTAAGCAGAATCAAGTCACTTTTGGGGTATAGCTCCGAATTGCTTTCCAGAGTGACTAGCTGTACCAATTGACAGGTCTACCAACAGTGCATTAATGAGCCTGTTTTTCCACAGCCCCTCCAACATTTGTCATTTTTTGCCAAAATGAGTGTGAAGTAGAACCTCATAATTCCCAGAGACTAATAATGAAGCATGCTGCCCATCTCTTGAGAGAGAGATGACAGATTCAAGTTGCATGTGTGGTTATTATTGTTGTTGTTGTTAAATCTAATGGGATCTTGGGCTGCTAAGAGAGACCTGGCTTCCAGGAGTAAGGAGGTGATAGTCTCATAGTTTTATGCCTTGACCAGGCCAAATTTTGAGTATTATGTTCAGACCATTTAGGAAGGACGTTGAGAAACTGGAGAGTATCCAGAGGAGAATGACCTTCTCTGGTGAAAGGCCCTGAGTTCATGTCATGTGAGGATCAGTCGAAGGAATGGGGGTATCTAGCCTAGAGAAGAGAAGCTTCGGGAAGAGCAAAACAGCAGGCTTCAAATATCTGAAGGGTTGTTATACAGAGAAGGGATTAGACTTGTCCTTTTTGGCCCGGAGGGCAGAACCAGCAGCAGTGGGGAGAGGAAGGGTCTAACATAAGCTTGTTGTCAGGAAAACCTTGCTAGCATTCTGAGTTATCCAAAGGAGGGATGGACTGCCTCTGAAAGTGTTAGGTTCTTCCTCCCAGGAGGTGTTCATGCACATGTTGGGTATGTTGTTGGGGGGTGGAAGCATTGGTTGGCCTAGTTGGCCACTGAGGTCCTTTCTAGGTCTGAATCTTATGACTCTGTGAGAGAATGGGTTATGGGGTCAGGTGGATATGAAATCCAGGAATGCTGATAAAATCCCCAAAGTGCCAACTTATTGATTATGAATATTTTGCACCTGTAATAATTTCTAACTCTGTAGTTGTAATTTGCACTATAATCTTGTTCTTTTATTTTCAAAGGTGAGAAGGGTGATGAAGGTTCACCAGGCACTCCAGGAAAGCCTGGCCCTCAAGGCCCAAAAGGTGAACAGGGCTTTCCTGGCTTCCCTGGCATACGAGGGCCTCCAGGTTTTCCTGGCTCTCCAGGTCAAAATCGAGAAGGTCCCAAAGGGAACCGTGGGCCTCGAGGTCATCCTGGGAGACCAGGTACATATGGGAGCATTAGGGAAATGGTCTTATTATTGTCTATTATTTTGTCTTGCTGGTAGGTTATTTAGTGTTTAGAGCTAGACGAAATTTGTAACTTAGGGCTGTGTTCCAAGTAAACAGCTTGGTTTATGCCCAGCTCCATTGATTTCCATGGCATCCACCAATTCCACTTGATAATGGATGTCATCCTCATTTACTTAGAGTGGAAGTAAAACTCAGTAACTGACATATTAGTCTCTTTGTTGAAGGAAAAGCTCTGCTGATAACCTGGCAGCAAAATCCTGTGGCCATGTTGCAGTGCAGGCAGAACTATAATATCCCAGAAATAATTTTCATGGGCACCCAATCTACTTTTTTGGACTGGACAAAAAAAATGTCTCCAAAGTTGGCTGCATGATTCAATGTCATTGGCACAATAAACAGATTTCATCTTTCCTAGGAACAGGACAATCAAATTTCTCTTCAGCATCCCAGCATGATCAAATTGGATAGTGAGCTCCTCAGCCCAAGCTCACGTCTGGATCTCATCTTTCTTACGTTAACACTGTTCCCGCAGAGTCAATTCTGCATCCAATGTTCACCTTTTCATTCAGTGTCTGTGTGGGGTAGTTCCATTTACTAATTCTGGAAAATCTCATTTTCATCCAGGGTTAATATTGCTGAGCCCAGGCACTCACTGGTGGTCTTTTATCGACAGCTTTTTGAGACTCCATTTTCCATTTTTATATTTCTGGTAATTAAAAACTTGGCTCTCATTGATTAAAAAGCAAGTGAAATCTCCAATGAAAGCAACAAAATAATTGGCCCCTCGTTTCCTAGGACTTGAAAGTCTCTGGATTTTTGCTTCCAAATGCCATTTAATTCATGCTAATAGTGTGTTCACTAATATCGTAGTTAATTTTGCTGAGATCTTTGTGACAGACTCGAATTCACTGGGATCACAGGCTATGTTCAGAGCACCTATTCACTAGCTGGCTGTCTCTGCTGTGATGTGAATGTTTCTGGAGGGGGGTGAGCAGCCCCAGTGATGGGTTGTTCAGCCATGTTCTTTCTCAGGGGGAAAAATGGGATTGCGCCCTTGTTAAACAAGGACTAATTTGAGGGGGGGAGGGAGAAGCCAACCCTTATCACTTTGCTGTTTGGAGTAACACTGCTATTTTATTCCAGGAATGGTGAAATTAGTTAGCTTACAGTGGAAATGTTGCCATTAGTTATAAACAAGTCAACCAACAAAAAAGCACCCAGCTAAATTTCTGATTTTACTACAGTCATGAGAAATAAATAAATAAGAGAAATGAGCTTTTCTCAACTTTTGCATGTTTTCTGTGAACTCCACTCAGGAATTTTAAGCCTGATTGTCTTAGTAGGAGCTTAGAGTAATGATTATTATGAAAACGACTTCCTGTCTGTCAAAACACACCAGTGTGTGCTGTTGGGAAGTGATGGCTTGGTTGGTGAAAAGATCTCTAGAGTGTCATAAGTTTGCAGAATACAGCAGTCGTGATCTAACTCTTTAGTGAAAGGCTCCATGGAATATTGGAGCTGATTGCTATTTCTAGCAGCGTCTGTGTCCTCTTCCCATTTTGCAACGATCACATCGGACCTTGACGAGCTCAATCCTTTCTGGGTCCTGCAGGTTAGCCCCTTAACGCTCAAGTAATTGCTTTTTATCGTTTGAAATTATATCCATCTATGCATGTGCATATGTATTGATTTTGGACCAGCATTTCATGGTCCGTGGACCATGATGTTGACTTGGACCATGATTTCATGGGGATAGGAAGCTCCCTCCACCAGTGTAACTCTACACCTCCTTTTGGGGCACTGAGAGGTTAAGTCACTTGCGCAGGTCTTCCCAACTCCAGGGCCAACTCTTCATCCACTATACCATGTTGTCCTTCGTGTAGATGTAAATTTTTTTTTCAAACTAGACCTGTGATTTAATTAGTAGAGGGAGTTCCTAGCTAGGGAGCTCCTTCTATCAATGGAGATGGGTACCTACCCTGTAACTTACAGTGTCAGAGAGTTGCCTAGGACACTGAGAGGTTTAACGACTTGCTCAGGGTCACACAGCCAGAATATGTCAGAAACAGTGCTCGAGCATATATGTATGTGTACACATAAATGCTTAAAATTGGCAAATATATTAATGTATACAATCAGGAATATAATATGCCAAATCAGTTCTCATATTTTGTCTGAAAATTGTAAGATATTAGTAAATTACAATACCCAGTGTCTCCAACCAACAGTGAGAAGTCACTTAATTAGGAAAGTCAATTTAGCATTCCTTTCCAATTTTGCTAACAAGCAGAATCAGTGTCCAGTTATCTGTGACTTTCTTTGTCATAGATCTGTAGCAGGAAAACATCATTCTGCATTCCTTTGGGAGATGCTGAAGCTAATTGTTGGCCAAAAACATCAAGAAGGAGAGACTTGTGAATGCAGAAGTAATTGGACTGTTTAATAACCAATTTTTTTTTCTTATCCCACACTTTTTTTCTGTTGGAAACTACAGATATATTAGAATCTGTACTTGGATTTTGTGTAGGTTTTCCCCAATATAGAGTCTCCTACTCAAGATTTTGCAATCAATCAATCAACAAGCATTTGAGAAGCAGTGTGCCATAGTGATTAGAGAGTTGGCCTGAGAGTTGGGAAAGCCTACTTTCAAATCCTGCCTCCAGTAATGGCTGTGTGACCCTGGGCAAGTCACTTAACTTTTCAGTGTCCCTCAGGCAACTCTGTACAACTAAGCTACAGATGATCTCCATTGGCAGAAGGAATCCTCAATAGGAATTCCCCATCCTAGTGAAATCACAGGGTCAGGCTTTCTCCCTGTGTGCAAGGCACTGTGCTCAGTGTTGGGGACATCAAGACAAACATGAACCAGCACCTGCCCTCAGGGAACTTAAATTAAACAAAGTTATCAGTTTTAAGCGACCCGATGGAACACACCAACAAGTCCAAACCACCTGCTTGTATGAATAGCTTGTTTTTCCTGGTCTCATCCTGTGCATGTGTCATCTGACCATGTGACTCCCCTACTCAACTGACTCCAGTGAGTCAATTGACTCCCTATTGCCTCTAGGATCAAACAAAAACTATTCCGTTTAACTTTTAAAGCCCTTTGTAACTTGGCCCCAACCTCTCTCTCCAGCCTCACTCTTCTTCCTACATGTCACAGTTCAGCCAAACTGTCCTCTCCCTTCCTCACACTTGACCTGCCATCTCAAGGCTCTTTGCCTTTCCTCTGACTGCACCCGTCCTCTGCCATGCCTGGAATGCTTTCCCTCCTCATCACCAACTCACAAAGCTTCTCTCTTCGTTCAAGACATAGCTGAAAGCTTTTATGACACTCCCAATGGCTAGTGTGTGCTCTTCCTCCCAAACTGCCTTGTACTTAACTACTTTTTCTTTGTTTTGTAGTCATTCAATGTGTATATTTATTATGTATATACGTGTGTATACGTAATATACATTGTCTCACCATTAGAATGTATGCTCCTCACGAGTAGGGGTTGTTTCATTCTTTGTATTTTTGTCCTCAGGGCCTAGCCCAGTGCCTGGCACACAGTAATTACTTAATAAGTGCTTGTTGATTAACTGATTGGTGTGAACTTTACACACCAAAAAACAGAGTGTCAAGAATTGCCCAGTGGGAGATTGGTAATTCATGGTGAATATTTTCACCTAATTGTGAGTAAGGTCTGAATGTGTTTATTATTTGTGATTCTGAGGCCAGGCTAAAAGGAAAATTGTCTTCTTAGCTTTATGCTATTTATGTGAAGGATTCTTTCTTTTCCCCGAGACTCTTAGGATTCTCAAAGATAGTTTACCTCTGAGCTTAGACCTTTGCTTTTGACTTTCCCTCCTAATATTATAATTTCTAAAACATCAAATGATCCTTCCATCAAGGCAAGTGGATAGAGTACTGAAATTGGAGTCAGGAAGACCTGAGTTCAAATCCTACCTCAGCTACTTACTAGCTGTGTGATCCTCAGCAAGTCACTTAGCCTCTGTCTGCCTCAGCTTCCTCAACTTTAAAACTGGAATAATAATGGCACCTACCTCCTAAGGTTTGTTGTGAGGATCGAATGAGAGAATATTTCTGAAGACTTAGCACAGTGACTGGCACAAAGTAGATACTTAATAAGGTGCTTGTTTTCTTCCTTCCTTCTTTCTTTCCTTTCTTCCTTTCTTCCTTCCTTCCTTCCTTCCTTCCTTCCTTCCTTCCTTCCTTCCTTCCTTCCTTCCTTCCTTCCTTCCTTCCTTCCTTCTTTCCTTCCTGCTTTCCTTCCTTCTTGCCTTTGATGAATTCAAGTCACCTCTCCCAGGTGGACTACATCCTCAGTTACCAAAAGAACTGGCAGATGGATGGCTGAGCCACTATCAGGAATGTTTGAAAGATTGTAGGAAACAGGAGAGGTGCTGTGGGACTGGAGAGGACAGATGCTTGGATTTTCAAAAGAGGGAGGAAAACACTGTAACAGAAGTATAAGACGATAGGCTAGATAGCTTGGCTTTCATTCCTGGCAGAATTCTAGAATGATTCATTAAAGAGATGGCTGGTGAACATCTGAAAAAGGAAGCCATGATCACAACAAACTAGCATGACTTCAGCAAGAACAGGTCATGCCAGACTAACCTCATTTTCTTTTTTGACAGAGTTAGACTGGAAGATCAGGGGAATGCTGTAGGTATCATATACCTAGAGTTTTTGAAAAAAGTCTCTTACTTTTCATGTCAAAAGTATCATATAGATCATGTAGAAAGTCGGGTGAAATGTGAACTAGATGATAGTGCAATTAATTGAATGTGGACCTGGTTGAATAGCTGGACTCAAAGAGTAGTTGTTAACGGTTCAATGTCTACTTGGGAGGAGGTCTCCACTGTGGTGCCCTAGGGATCTGTGCTTTGCCCTGTGCTGTTTAACATTTTTATCAATGACTTGGATATAGGCATAGATGTCACATTTATCGTTTGGCACAGTGCTC